ATATTTTACTTCAAAAAGACACCAATATATAAATGGTGCCTGTTTTGGAGGGTAACAGTTGAAATTGACACCCCAAGGAAAACCATTGTCAACCGACGCGTCAGCGGAGGTTGACAATGGTTTTCCGAGGGGTGGCAATTTCAACTGTTACCCTCCAAAACAGGCACCATTTATTTTATTATACTGAATGTCTTCTTAAATTAAGTCAGCAAAAAAAATCGTCGATCATCTTTACGTTCACGTTTAGATAGCCTTCAAACTCCTCGCTACTTCTAAAAAGATTTACTGACCTTTTTATTGTTTGTTTGATACTCTAAGAGTCTTTTATCAAATAAAGTTTCATTATTTCTGCACTCGCAAGGCTAGCATGTTCCGTCTGTCGTTTGTTGTTTTCAAGTAAACTACATCGGACGCAAGCTTTTATTGATGTCAACTTTTTTCCAGTTCTTTCAAACGCGCAACTGACGTTTTGAGAATTCTACGGTGAACCGTACGCGCATAATATCCACGCATGCGGCATTACCGTTGTGTTACCCGTTGTCACATGCGTTTCTAAGGCTGAGGGTAATAGAACGGATTGTTAACTGCGTCTAGACCAATCATATTTTAGTATTTAACATGAAAGTATAATAATGGTAATCTAACAACCAAGCTATATGATAAACGTGATGACTTTAACTTTTCTATCGTCAACTTCCCTTACTTATGCAGCACCTGCATACGGGATATATATATATATATATCTCAGTTGATTCGATACGCAAGAGCATGGATTGCTCTAGGTATGAACAATTTCTAAAACGAGGTAAATTATTGACAAGCAAGTTGATGAAACAAGAATATCAGCAGTCTCGTTTAAAGTCATCATTTCGTAAGTTCTATGGTCGATACAACGACCTTGTCAGCAAATACAATTTATCATTAAGTCAAATGCTGACTGACGTTTTTCATACCAATTGTTAGTCCATTATTTATACACTTGAATTGACGACGGATTTTTTCCGTTATTTCCTGATCATGACAAGGAGCACACGGCGGGTGTGACGGGTCGGCAGGGGATGCTCACTCCTCCATGGTACCTGATCCCATCTCTGATGTTTCGGGGGTCTGTGTTTGCTCTGCTCTTATTTTGTATTGTTTTATGGACTCTTATACTGAATACTGTTCGTTATCTCCATATCCTTCTTTCCCCCATTGAAAATGCGATACACTAAAATTTCATCGAATGGGACATTTCCTAAATATTTCTGACAGACATCCCCCCTTTTATGTGTCTATTCCTCGATGAAACAGCATCATAACTAATCATTCCCAAAACACATGATCAGCCTGCAGTCCAAGGGAAGTAATCCTCACGATAAAACCAGGACTACCAAAGATGAAATATACACTTGTAGCCTACGTTACTGCAGTGCAAATGTTCGAAAATGAAGTAAAAGCCATATATGGTAACAGTAGAGAGTATGGCTGTGTATTGAAGAAAAAATATCGATACAATATCATCATTGGTGTCGGAAGCAAATAGAAAGAGGGGCTTATTGAAAGAGAAAAACTATTTTAACCTGAATAAAAAAACAACAAAAAAGGGAAGAAAATAGTATATAGTCCAAATGCGAAAATTCTATTTCAATGGAAAGGGGGAAGGGAGTGGGGGTAAGATCAACCTTCTTTTAGTACCATTTTTCCAGAAACCCTTCTACTTACCCTTCTTTGAATTTACTGCAACCTGTGCTTGTTGAAAATGGGGAAGGGGATAAACCATGCACCAATGTCCAATTCCTTCACTGTGCCCCTACCGAATTCCGAAGCCTATTAATATTTTAGATATAACTTTGTAATGTGATTATCAGAACATAATTATCTTATCCAGGGTTCTTTTTAGGGGATATCCGATTTTCCTAAATTCTGAGTAAAATGATGAGCCGACAGATTATTTTCCTGAGTATATATAATGAGTCTGCATATACGATTAGAAGACAATCAAAATATCAGTTTTACCAGTTGCTATACGTTCCAAAGACTAAATGTGACTGGGCAACGTAACCCGTCACCGAGTATTCTCAGTATAAGGGTTCCTATTAATATATAGAGAATCAGGGGCCTCGATCTGATAAGAACTATTTCCACCTGACACACAAATTCTACTACTGCCGATGAATTCATTCTAACTCTACCCTAGCCTAACGTATACCTTTCGTCTTCTGACTTCTCTCTCTCCGAGCAATTCCACTTCAGCTGCCAGCTGCCTCGATTTATATACCCTTAAAACATTTTATTTCCGAAGGATGTCAATTTATTCCATTCCATTCCATTTCATGGGTGTGTTCTATTAGTCTAAGACTATTACGTTTCACTACCCAGCCCTCGTGCATCCCGCCTAATCAATAAAAATCATAATTTTATCGTTTATTAATTAATTTGTTTACATAGATATTTTAAAGATCTTATCAAAGTAACTTTTTGTTTAAATCTGCAAATTCTTTTTCATTCAATTCGGAGTTTTCTGTCATTTCAATCTGAGTTTCATCACTTCATCATTTCAACATCAGTACCCTGATCCTGACCCTTTTAATCTAAATTATTCACGTCCCATAAGGTCTTATTCTATCAACATGTACAGTAAGTGTTTTTGTCCCTTCTTCTTTTTATTTTGTAAGTAACATGCATGCTGTTTTACAATGATGTATGGAAGTAGTATAAAGGGTCTAGAAAGTGCGGAAGTGACGTCATAACCGGAAGTGGGCTAACCGGAACTGGTCTAGCGGAAGTGGCCTAGCCAGAAGTGTCCTAGCCTGAAGCAGGCTAAATGGCGAGGTCAATATCTAGGACATTATGCAAATGAGGATGGAGGATTCTGATTGGCTGGGAGGATAAGGGGTCAAGGGAGTGCAACCCCCTGGGGGGATAAGGGGGTCAAGGGAGTGCAGCCCCCCTGGGGGATAGGGGGTCAAGAGAGTGCAGATTGGGGGGGTGTGGAGGATAGGGGGGTTCAACTCAGTACAGTCCGTGGGGTAGGGATAGGTGGGGATTCAGTATATAGCTCTAAATATAGTGTTTTACACTATACTGTAAGGACCATGTGCAAAAAAATTAGGGTCGTGTGCAAAAAAAGGTTGGACTTACCTATGCATTGTGACGTCATCCACTGTATAAATACAATGTGATTATGACGTCACCCATTCATTTACAGTCTAGACAGCCTAGTCTAGCCAGTTCAAACTGGATTTTTTTTACTGAAAACAAGAACACTACTAACACACAATAACAAGAACACAGATTTTATTCAGAATGAAAAAATACAACAATTAATTTACTTTTTCTTCTTCTTCTGTCCCTTATCACTCATCAGGGGTAGTTTCCTCTTGTGAGTAGTGCTGGGTCCTGGAATCTCTCTGTTGTATTTATTTTAATCCGACATCCACAAGCTGGGCATTTATAGAACTGAACAACTCCTCCACTAGTCAGATGTTCATGCCTGTTTTCCGTTTTCACAAACATGTTATAACAGTTTGGGCATTCCTTACGTAAATAAAAATCCTCGATCCTCACTAAAACTAATTTTCCGGAACCATCATAGTCATATATATATATCCAAGTCTTGGAGGTTGATCATTCCTGGAATCCATTTCTAGTATTTTAAAAACACAATAATTCAACCTCCATGTCCAGCGCTGGTTTATATACCTTTACTGTAAGGGCCGTGTGCATCAATACTTTTTACCTACCTTTTTATACCTGTTACATCATCTTTTTATACCTGTTGCATCATCTTTTTATACCTGTTGCATCATCTTTTTATACCTGTTGCATCATCTTTTTTATACCTGTTACATCATCTGTAAGGACCGTGTGCAAAAATACCATACACCTATGTTTTTTTATGCTGACACTATGTATTCTGCTCCGTCTAATTTGTGAGAAAGTAAGGTGATTTCTCCTGGTACTCTAAGGGTATATAAAAAATTATAGACCCATAGTGGGGCAATCTCTGAAACTAAACAAAAACGGAAAATGATATCAGAAATCGAAACATAGGTGTTTTTGATAAGGAGTTCATATATACTAGTATTTTTGGTGAAATATCCTGTCTCATAAAATTCTCCAAAGTTGAGGAGGGGACACGATCCATTTGCCAGGTGTCCGTATATATGAGTACACAATAGACGCCTTCAATTTTAACATGAAAAGGAATAGCTCCAGATGCCAGTGTCCATACAAGTCATCACTGAGGGGCCCCCGGTGGGAGCGACATTTCCGCTGCAGTTGAATCTCAAGTTGTCCCCCGTGTCCCAGGGATAGGTTTCGGGGTCAGCAAAGTCCACCACTGCGTTTGTCACCCCAAGTGGTTCAGAGCAACGCTTACCTGGCAAAAGAAATTCTTATTAGATTTCTACGTGACTGTACAAAATCGTGTTTCGGGTAATACGTGCAACTGAAAACAATAAACGCTTAAAAAATCGCTGAAATATTAGCACTTTTAAAAAACCCTACTCCCGTTACCTCCATATACGGGAATACATCGGTAGGTGGAGTCCGACTGAACGCAGAGGTCATCCTCTCCACAAACGTGTCCACTGCACGTCCCAGCGATACCCTGGAGTTAAATCATATCCAAATCAGATATATGCGTCTTTACTTAGCAGGGACGTAGCAACAGGGGGGGGGGGGGGGGGGTCCCCACTTTTTTTCCCAACATTACCTTTACTATATTTAATAAATATTATGCAGGCTGGCAGTAGGGTTCAAAATTCTCATATACATTATGTATTACACAACTAGGTCAATACGATAATTTAGCCACCTGAAGAGTGTAATATTCACCGAGCCTGAAGGGCTCCTAAAAATATACTAATAGTACTGATAAATTAAAGTCAGTAAATTGTGCACATTTGCTTCTTTTATTTTTGATAGAAAATGAAATAGATCACCTGAATTATATTATTTGATATCATAAAACAAAGAAAACTTCAATTAATGAACTGCTGTTATATACTTTATGTAAAACATAGTTCAAAAATTCTCAAAATCCAGCTTATGGCGAATGTTGGCGTTTTCCAAATGCAGGTCAAACTTCAAGGGCGCGAGATAAAAAAAAATGTTGATACCCAAAGAAATGAGACCTGTGTCAATGGTTACATGCAGTTGTTTAAAATTGTCATATTGGTCAAATTACGAGTTTTGGTCAAGTTCAAAAGGTAAAAAATATTTAAACACCATGGAAAGGTCTTATGAAGACGGATATATACATGAAATATGAAATCCCTACCACTAAATGTTCAAAGTTATGTTTTTAAAAAAACGTTAATCTTTATACTTTTGAACAGTTATGGTATATACTATGAATAAGCACTTGCACCATCACTTTGTGTTGGCCGCAGATGGTCGTAACCAAACTTTGTCATTTTTTGGTGGATTTTTTTTAAATTTCCAATAATGATCATTGTCTTGAAAACGAGTTAATGTACCAATAATGATCATTGTCTTGAAAACGAGTGTCTAGTGTAGTGTTACGCACGCATTTCTTACTGGTATTATGAATGCTGTAACTATCTTTTTCCTAGTTCTGTTCAATATTCTCACGAGATTACTTATTCATATAAATGCGTTTGTCTCTTGTTTTAAGAGTTCATTAATTTTTTCATATGTACAACAATCGTGCCTAGCAGCAATCAATATATAGGTTGCTTACATTCTCCGACGTTTCAAATGAAACGAATTTTTTAAAGACTTTTACTCTGCAGCAGAATTACCGGGGTATATATTTCTGTAACCAAAATGAAATAGAAATAAAGAGATAAATTAATAGAAATAAAATTACATATTCATGATTTATTAAATAATGAAGAGTGCAATAAATATCTCGATTCAATGTCTAGAAGAAAGTAACACTCATACAGGTCAAAGTGTGGAAAGTAAAGAAAGATTTACATAAAGTCTGTTTTATCGAGAATATAAAAATTATTGTTAATAATAAAATTAAACACATTTTCCTGATTTTATCCGCTTTCTTTGCTGAATATAAACTTATTTGTTGCACTATATCATACAGCATATTTATCGAGGTATTTTTCCACAACTGAAATTGCCTTGAGTTATACCAACCAATGGAAGAAAATTCTAATATTAACAAACTCTATAAATCAAATAAAACTGTAACTTATGATACATAAATTTCCTTCTTGTAAATTGTGTATATTGTAAAATGTTTTAATTCCACAATTTTTTACTGCATGTCTGTCAACATAAATAAAATCTTCCGTCATAATTTTGCCATATCCGTATCTGTCTATCTATCAATTATCTAATTAAATCGTCTTTGTCATTCAAATCCACATTTATTGAATTCAAACGGGTAACGAGATTAAGATAATCAAATCTTTTTTTACTATGTTTAATGTTTAAATGGAGAGAGAGAGAGAGAGAGAGAGAGAGAGAGAGAGAGAGAGATTTACCGTGGGGAGGTCGGATTTAGTGGCGTAGTATGTCCCGGTCTCCGTTTGGACCAGACTTGGATCATCCTCCTTAGATCTTGTGAACAGTTTACAAGTCTGTGAAGACGAGTGGGCCAGGGCTTTACACTTGGCCTCCCTCAGGCAGTAGGAGGCACATTCTATCAAGGTGGACAGTGTCAGGCTCTGGTACAGATAAGCTTGGTGTAGGGTGGAATCAGCACTCTTCGTTATCGTATACTCCGAGCAGGTCCCAGCCACAGACACACCAACGGTCGGTAGAAGTCCGAAGATGTTAAAAAACTTCATTTCAGAGCAGAGAAAAAGCCCTTCTTCTCGACACAGAACGGTGTTGTTTGATGAGTAGCGTCATCAATGTTTCATACGCCATGGAAGATTAACTGCATATATTGTTTTAGTTATTGATTTAACTTTTCTTTAAAATAAATGACTATATTGTGTATTTAGGCTTATATCTGTATTTCAAATTAAGTGACTGAGTATGTTTTTTTAAAAACCTTCCTTTATTCCAAACGTTGATGTTTGTTGATTAAGACATTTATGTAACACATAAAACATCATTTTACATTTGCATGGGAATATTGCATGAAGTTGGTCATGTGATCAAATTCTATAACGCCTGAGGGATGTTATAAAATATTTGATGAAGTACCAGCTTTATGTCCTATCCAAAAGCAATGGAACTCTAACAAATGATATTGTGTTTCTTATATTTTCATTTTTATTCATGCATGCTTCTGTGGTAGTGTCAGATACATGGCTTAATCCCTACTAGGTTGGGCTCAGTTGGTAGAGCACTGGACTGTCAAGCCAGAGACCCCGGGTCCAATCCCCAGCAGAGGTAATGAATTGTTTCTGTTACATTTGGCGCCCATGTAGGGACCCGGGTGTTCTCTGGCGGATGAGAGTGATTGCCCCCAGAACTTCGCCCCACAGGCGTCGGCACTCCAAAAGAGATGAGGACATCTCATTCTCTGGAGGTGGACAATCTGGTAGTCTCAGATATGTGGCTTCCTTCTAGCATGGGCTAGTAGGTTAACCCTTTAGCTCATTTGGTAGAGCACTGGACGGGCAAGCCAGACGCCCCGGATTCATTCCTCAGCAGGCAATTAATTGTTTTTTTTACTTTTCCATTTTTTTTAGTGACCAAACTTTTTATGAACTTTTTGCGTTCACATGTATAGATTATATAGGGACTATAATCATAATATAATATAAAAAATGGAGATAAAGAACTGTATCTTGTTTGTCAATAATTTACCCCGTTTTAGAAATTGTACATAGGTAGAGCATGCTCAATTACGTATCAAATCAACTGAGAGATATATAAACTCCCTATGTAGGTGATGAAGGTTTTACTGCTGCATAAGAAAGGGAAGTCAGTTGACGATTGAAAAGTTAAAGTCATCACATTTATCATAGAGCTTGGTTGTTTGATTACCATTAACGTCTTTGTCAAGTAAGAAATCCAAATATGAAACAGATGTGTCAGACTCTGTAGTACCTTTCTTCTCAGGCTCACCGGGATATCGTATCGACATAAGAAGGGAAATAACCATTGTCAAAAGTTAATTGACAATAGGTCGTCGATATATCGAAATGTCGAGTTGAAGGCCAAAGCAAGTGGACACTAGAGGTACTGTGAGCAATGAGCTCACTAAATGATACCCCCCGCCTCCCATAATGTCCATTTGTTGCTATACCAGTATATTGTTTTACGGTAAGGGGACGACCATTTGATTCTGAAGGGGGGGGCTGGCAAATTTGTTTGAGACGGATTATTTATTTTCATGCCAGTCAAGGACAGATAATTTATTTTTAAGATCATCAAGGACAGATTATTTATTTTCGTCTTTGTCTTACGGTACCTTGATCAATTGATTCTTAAAGACTTATTTATATACCATAGGCGGATACAGGGTTTGGAGAGGGGGCGTGTATAACTTCGTTCAGACAAGAGGTCTGGGGTCGACTTAAGGCCACCAGTGGGTACTGGGCGAAGCATAGATGGAGTCCCAGGGAGGACCCCCCCCCCCCGAAGCTCTTGGGTTTTTGGGTATTTTAAGAGTAAAACCAGACATAATTATGCAGGAATTGGTTAGTTATGTACCAAAGTATGACATTCTTAATACTAGTCGTATCATACTTTGAATGAAGGGGGCTCAGGGGGCGAAGCCCCCCTGAAGCTCTTGGGGTTTTGTGTATTTTAAGAGTAAAACTAGGCACAAAAATATTGGTATTTTCCCAGAGTATGGCATTATTATTATTATTCGTATCATATATACTTTGAAATTTTAGGGGAGGGGTCGTACACATGTACGCCCCCCTTAAATCCGCCAGTGTATACTTTGTATTAATATTTCGGGGAATTATAATTCTTTGACAAGAAAACTTATCTATTGCAGTGTATAAGAATTGGCTTGTATTTAAAGTGATTCATCACACATACTGAGTGCTGCACATTGTCATGTTGATACACTGAATACAAGTATCCAGTCTGGTAATCTGATTTTAAATACTATTTGGTTCTAAAATGGCGAGCGAAGCGAGCAAAAAAAATGCTGAATTGAAGATTTTGAGGTTAAATTACACGGAAATAAAAAGGTACTTTTCACAATATTTATGTACCATAAGTCAAGGCCAGATGTAGTGGAGGACAGATTATTTATTTTCAACATTTTCAGGGACAGATTATTTATTTCCAAAATCTGCCAGCCGCCCCCCCCCCCCCCCCCCGAATCAAATGGTCGTCCCCTAATGTGTAAAGAGAAATAACTCGTCCTATTAAATGTTATCCAGAGGCTTCTATATGTGTCGTCATAGGGAAACATATAATAGCAATGTCCATGTTTTGCTTTGGGAAACCTAAAATACGTGTCGAATAAAAAAGTAAAATAGGAAGTGCACAATGGCAATATGTAATAAAGATTCTGTAAAAGTTTCATTAAATTTCACTCAGTAGTATAAGAGGAGTTGCGGATAAGAGATAAAGCGTAACAGACGGACGGACGGAAATCCCGATTACTATATACCCTCCCACTTTTCAAGCGGGGGGGGGTATAAAAATGAATATCGACAAAGCGGCAAAGAGGTTCTGATTTAAATCAGGGACCTATTTATCCTATTTTTAGTATATCATGTATAAAATGGCAAAGAACATATACATATAATATCACACAAGTGGTAGATAATTATGTAGAAATCAAATCAAAAATGTGTTATTCTAGATATCTCTTTATATATTTTTAATGTTTGTTTGAATATGAATTATCGTTCTTTGAATTTTTTCGTTTTGATACATGTCAGCCCCATTCGTAAATATAGAGTTACCCAGGCATGTGCGTCCGCTTGCCGCCATTTTGAAATTGTGTGGATGTGAATTTCCAAAGCAAGCTTAAACTAAGTAATATATGGAATAACACGATTAAATTATATCATTTCATAAAACTTGTAGCAGTTTGGGTAGAGGTAGATGAGTGATATCGATCCAAACAAGCTTAAAGTTGCCGAATTGCGCGAGGAATTGAAGTCGCGTGGGCTAGACACCAAAGGAACAAAACCGGTATTAGTCAAGCGTTTAAAAAAGGCATTAAATGAGGAAAAGGGAGGATCGGGTATGTACACAGCATGCACAATTGTGAAACGGCCAAATTTTGTTGATTACTTTTCGCAAATCAAATGTATCAGTATTTGTGGATATATTGTTTGCTAACATCAGGGTTCCACACTCGTCAAAATTTGATCTCGCCATTTGGGCAACCTTGGTATGATTACAGGTTGCCCGAATGAATTTCAGGTCGTCCAAATAAAATATCAAAGGAAACAAAAGTTAACTTAAAGTGCAATTGTTTAAAATTTGTTAAGATAATTAACAGAAGTTGTGTTTTTTGTATCAAAAAATATAAACAAGACATTTTTGGAATGTAAAGATGTTTTCTAGTATTTTATCAAGAAAAATATAAGCAGAATCAGACATGCAGAATGCTAAAGTTTGTAGCTTAAAACATTCATTTTCACTTGTCATGAAGGCCTAAATAAATAGGGTCGAATAACCCTGGACTGAATTAATCAGGTGTTATATTACAGTGGACACCCAACATGGCTTTCTAGCAGCAGAAAACGATGATCAGAAAGTTGTAGGGGAATGCAAGATGTTACAATGATGATTATTATTACTATTTATATTTCAGGTGATTGTTGACTAAGGCCATCCTTAAAAAATTGTTTGTTTGGAATTGCCGCCTGAAGGGTTTCAGACACAGGAGGGAGAGAGGGAAATTATTTTTTTTTAATTGAAATAAATTATAAATTTTTGATAAAAATCTCAGAACAAAAACCTAATTTTACACAGATCTTACACTATATTTCAGTGTTTTGTATGGTGTATGTGATACATGTAATGGGCCAAAAAAAAAAAATTGATTAAATAAAAAAAATAAAAAATCTTCCTACTTTTGGTCAATAAAATTTTTTCAGGAGGGGGGCATTTCAATGAGGCGGGAGGCAATTCCAAACAAACTATAATTTTATTTTGGCCTAAGTTGGCATATTTTATATCTCAAATAAAACTTTATGAAAGACTTTTAGTAAAAATTGCATCAGCTGATTGATCGAACGCGAACGCAGATTTCGCAGGAAGTAAAATCTACGCGGCTGCAATTTGAACATGTTGAATGGGTAAATTGGTTTTGTTACTGGAAAAAATGTTTTCAAGGTCTTTTGAAGTTTATTTTAGAAAATTAAACATCATTATTAAATATTCCCAACTTGTCCCAGGTCGTCATTTGGGCGAGCCAGACTGAAAATCAGGTCGTCCCAAATCATTTCTGGGTGGAAATGATGAGGTGACGAGCGCGAATGTCGAACCCTGTAACATAAATGACCTTGACCTTTGTTGTTTTTAGTTGCTGACGAGTCCGTTGATTCTCTCGCCGATGAATCGCAAGAGGCATCAACACTAGATGACAGTACCTCCCAGGAGTCTCCCACCAAGAATGATCAAGTATGCTACCTCCTCATACTACTGGCTGCAAAACCACTTTACTCTACATTTTCAGCTGCTTCTTATAAATATATTTAAAACAAAGCTCTAAAATTTAGCCTATTCTTTCAATTTTCAGACAGAAAATGCACCAGCACAAGAAACACCTGAAGTATCAGCGGAGGTATGATTTTTATTATTTATACTATTTTACTTTTTTACTTCCTGAGAATTGAATATTTTCAGGGAAATAATTAGTAAATGTAATACACATATATAGTGTAATTTTCTTGTCATAAGAAGTCCTCATCACAGTCAAAATATGTCTGAGGTCAAAAGACCTTGCACTGAAAATAACCTTCAAATTAATAATTGTCGCCCGTCTTTTCCATCTGTAAATTTTTCACATTTTCAATTCTCAAGAACCATTGGGCCAATTTTAACCAAACTAGTCATGAAAAAAGTAACATGTAAGGAAAAAATAAATTCATTTTGTCAATGGTTTTCCTTAATTTACAGCCATTTATGACATTTTGAACTCTGGATTATTCATAGTAAACGAGTAAGAGTAGGTTAAATTTTTCTGTCCCTTCTCATTTTTCTTTATTTACAATTTGAGGAATGAGCACTATAGTTAAACTGGGTCCATTGGTCAATATTATTTAAATATTTGAACATTTTGTCTAGTCATCCAATTCATAAAGATAAATTTTAGAAGGAATTTGGATTGTTAATGTACAAAAAACTTTTAGGCACCAGCTGAGGAGCAAGAATCAGATGTAGCAGAAAAAGTGGCACCCACTCAGGAAAGTGTTAAAGCTGAGGAAGCACCTGCGCCGGCTTCTGAACCAGTCCAGGCCAAACCAGAACCTGTCAAAGCTGAACCGAAGACAACTGATAAAGAGCCATCCAAAACAAATGAAGAGCCCATGGCAACAGAGAGTGAGGCAGTAAAACAGGAGGAGGCAGAGACGGCCAATGGTGTGGATGTAAAGAAAGAAACTGACGAAGAGATGACAACCGTCGAGCAATTGTCTGATGATGGTAAATCTAGAAATTAAGGCTTTTTATGAAATTATATGCCAAAAATTTTGATTTGTTGCATGGCACTTTGTGGAAACTTGAATCTTTAGATATAGCCATATATTCCAGGGACCAACCTAGACCCAAAAATTAGACAGACTTCACTTCTCCCTCAGAGAAATTTAGGGAGAAGTTTTGAAGTTTAGGGAGACTTCTTGGCGCACGTGATGCTCACTGATCATTATAAAACTTTTTAAAAATGAAACTATTTCATTGTTTATAACTTGAAATACTTTTCAACAATTTTTTTCTGTATTGAAATCCTAGTAAAAATAATTTAAGAAGGAGAAAAAGAATCTGAATTTTTTTTTCCAATTACAAGGTATATCTAGCAAAAAAAAAAAAAAGAACAACAACAAACAAAACAAATCAAAAAAATAAATAATGACAATGTAAAAGTTTTTTTTCATTTCTTGCATAATAATTAATATGCACAATTAAATTTTAAATTCTATCTTTTCATTTTAAATTTGAAGCCTCATTGCATAGTCATAATTTTGTTATTATCTCTTTAAAATTTGTTTTCAATCTTAATTTTTTTTTTCTGAAAAAGTTTTGATGTACTATGTACTGCATGCTGATTGAGCTCTGTATATCAGATGTGTAATTTCTTAGACAGTAAATAACTACACAATTTAACAGTAAAATAGGTCTGTATTCACAGCTATGAATTAATTATTTGGCAATATTTACATTTGCAAATGTTTTCCTTTACATAACACTACTGAAGGCAAGCGTTTTTATAACTGTGTAAATACAGGTTTGGGGTCAAGAGGTCATAGATGTGCGTTTGGATAAACGTTCCACGTAATTTCTCTGTGACGTCATAAAGGGTCGACGCGCGTTTAGTGGATTACATACATGCCGTTGGGTTTGAAAAATTAACGCATTTCACACGTTAAAAGTAACAATCAGGCAAATATAAAGTATGAATAAGTCACAAATGTAAATATAAGTAATAAGGTATGATTTTTTGAGTTTTATTGAGATGTAAAACGGGTTGACACATGATCAAATCTTCCATAAAGCCCTTCGGGCTTTATGGGATTTGATCACGTGACCAACCCGTTTTACATCTCAATAAAACTCAAAAAATCATACCTTATTTCTTAAATAAAAAGACCTAAAATCATCTTCAACATCTTTGGCATGACATCGATATAGCTGACCAGCTGTTTTGCGTCTGGTTGTGCATAACTTGTAACGATGGACTTTATCATACCCGGAAGTGTAAAATCTAGAGGAGTTCCGTCAGAGTATTCGATGCATTGGACATTAGTAGCGAAACAGGTGCAAGTGTCCTGCTGTTTCGTTTATTTCAGCAGTAATAAAACAGGATTTATAAACTACTGACAATTCTACCATGTTTCTTAATAGATTTGCTTCATGATTTTCAATAATGGGGTTGCAAATGTTAGGGCGACTTTAACTTCGCTTTCATGATAAATTACGGCGAAGTTTGGAGCCCAAAAGCGACTATTTCGCCTCAGTCGCCCCCTCGGTTGGTCCCTGATATTCGTAAAATAATATTGCAATATGAATGTTATGGAAATGTGAAAACTCCAAAAGAATGATTTGGAATGTGCCCTAATTGTAGATAATAAGAGGCATGGTAGGAAGCAGTCAAAGAGTCGTTCTCGGGAGAAGCACCACTCCAGGGAGGATCAGTATAGGTCCCGCTCTCGGTCCAGGTCCAGGGAGAGGAGGTAGGTCAATGTAGATAATACAGGAGGGGTCAAAAAAATGTGTTGATGCAAGAATTTATTGACTTAAATCTTCATTGATTTATTTCAGCAGTAACAATTTTAATTAGGTTTAACTTCTGTTTAATGAATCTCTTAACCTGCAGGCGAGCTTACAGTCCCCAAAAAGTGGAGATGGAGGACGATTCCTGGGAGTCTTCTACTGATGTTATACTGGACAGATGTAAGGCCAATACAGACTTGTTGAAATTTTTTAATCACTGTCAGACATTTGGTCTGACTCACTGTCAGACATTTGGTCTGACAAAGTCGAATGTTCTGTCAGACCAGTCAAACTTTTGTCAGACCAGATACTTGTACATTATTTTGATGCTGATAGAGTCATATGAATAACAGCACCAAAATGCCCTTTATTAGCTCACCTGAGCCGAAGGCTCAAGTGAGCTTTTCTGATCAAAATTTGTCCGTTGTCTGTCGTCGTCGTCGTTGTTGTTGTCGTAAACTTTTCACATTTTTATCTTCTTCTCAAGAACCACTGGTCCAATTTCAACCAAACTTGGCACAGAGTATCCTTGGGTGAAGGGGATTCAAGTTTGTTCAAATGAAGGGCCACGCCCTTTTCCAAGGGGAGATAATCATGAATTTGTTAAAAATTAATGGCATTTTAAAAAATTCTTCTTCTCCAGAACCGCTGGGCCAGGAAAGATGAAACTCATGTGGAATCATCCTCAGGTAGTGTAGATTCAAGTTTGTTCAAATCATGACCCCAGGGGCAAGGGTGTGGCCTAAATGGCCGACCCAAGTTTTACATAGGAATATATAGGAAAAATCTTTAAAAATCTTCTTCTCCAGAACCACTGGGCCAGGAAAGATGAAACTCATGTGGAATCATCCCCATGTAGTGTAGATTCAAGTTTGTTCAAATCATGACCCCCGGGGCAAGGGTGGGGCTAAAATGGCCGACCCAAGTTTTACATAGGAATATATAAGAAAAATCTTTAAAAATCTTCTTCTCCAGAACCACTGGGCCAGGAAAGATGAAACTCATGTGGAATTATCCCCAGGTAGTGTAAATTCAAGTTTATTCAAATCATGACCCCCGGGGCAAGAGTGGGGCCAAAATGGCCGACCCTAGTTTTACATAGGAATATATTGGAAAAATCTTTAAAAATCTTCTTCTCCAGAACCACTGGGCCAGGAAAGATGAAACTCATGTGGAATCATCCTCAGGTAGTGTAGATTCAACTTTATTCAAATCATGACCCACGGGGCAAGGGTGGGGCCCAAATGGCCGACCCAAGTTTTACATAGGGATATATAGGGAAACCTTTTAAAATCTTCTTTTCAAGTACTTCAAAGCTATGATTAGTGATATTTATATGGAATCATCCCCAGGTAGTGTAGATTCTAATTTGTTCAAATGATGAACGCCTGGAAGGGGGGGGGGATAAATTCAAGCCTGATGTGCTCAGGTGAGCGCTGTGGCCCCTGGGCCTCTTGTTATTTTCAATAGCCTTTAGTCTAACAAGTTTCCTTTCTTGGGATAGAGTCTTTAACACTTTACAACTTACAAAATTGTTATGCCAAATAAACTGAATCCTCACATCATAGAAATATTACGTTACCATTTCCCCGCAAGCAGTTTCCAGCAGGATACAAGTTTCTCTAAATTTTAGCGTAAATAATATCCTGACGTAATATTTTAATTAGAAAATAATTTTTCTTATTTTATGAGATTAAGCAAGTATGAAATAGTTGGAATTTGGTAATAAATTGAAGATTTAATGAACTTTTTAAAGTGCGTGAAAATGCGTGATTGCGGGGAAACGGTAAATGCGTGATTTTGCGTCAGAAATAGGAAATGGTATATGCGTTAAAATGTGTGACTGCAGGGAAGGGGGTTAACATAGACATAAATGACAAGTTTTATGACATTGCTGTAACAAATTTTCCTAGTTATCGTCAACATGCTGCATACGCGGCCATTTTTTCTGTGTTTGTGACCTTTATCTACGCATCCCGATCCCAACCTTTATTAAATTTGCATTACGCTCAATTTTTTTCAAATGGTCATCTGGACCGACGTTTTCTTTAATGTTATCAGTCCAAACAAATTTTTACTGGCTTTGCCGACAGGACCAATGGATTTCGACAAGTCTACCAATACAGTGTGTTACTAAATATATTACCTGTAATTATAAACTACTTAAATTGTCCACATTGTAAGAATTATGTTGAAAACTTTAACATTTTTTATACTTTTGTTTGAAAATCATTATTTTAAAAAAGTATTTATGATGTTTATCTTGTAGTCAATTCTGATTTGAGCCTGAAAACAGGCTGGATAAACTGAAATGTTACAACAGCAGTGGATTTTGTTACATAGTGCCCAATTATCCCCAATCACAAAGTCATTAACAGGAAAGACAAAAAATGAGAGGGAGGGAAGCACTTACCAGAAAAAAGAAGGACCAGGGGGATCAGGAGAGAGTAAGAAAATTAAACAGATGGATCCATGCTACGTATTAGTAAAAGACATAGAAAAAACTGAAGAAAAAAACCCTCAGGAAACCAAAAGGAAACTACCCCTGATGATGGAAAAGGCCCAGAAGAAGAAAAAAAGTGGAGAAAAAAAGCCTCAGGAAAGCAAGAGGAAACTACCCCTGATGACTGATAAGGGACAGAAGAAAAAAATAAATTGATGTATGTATTTTTCATTCTGAATAAAAATTGCCTTGTTATTGTGTGTTAGTGTTCTTGTCTTTTTTCAGTAAAACCAGTTCAAACTGGCTAGACTAGGCTGTCTAGACTGTGAATGAAAAAGTGTGACGTCATAATCACATTGTATTTATACAGTGGATGACGTCACAATGCATAGGTACCTATTTTTTTTTGCACACGACCCTAATTTTTTTGCACATGGTCCTTACAGTATAGTGTAAAACACTTTATCCCGCTTCAGACAAATTTGTCGATTACTGATTGGATGAAAGCTGATCACATGACGCCCTGAAATTTTCCGTATTACGTCTCCGTTTCCATATTACATCTCCGTCGAGGCGTAACATGAAAATCGGGCACGCGATTCCGTTCGAAGCGTTGTTATTGTAAATAAAATGGCGGCTAAGAAACGGTTTTTGTAGGTACTTTAGTTAAATTTCTTGTTACCGTAACGATATTTTATGTTGATTGTTATTGGATTAAAACAAATATTTTCATAATATGCACAAATATTTTTTTTTATATAGAAAAAGGTCTTCAGCGGGATAAATTCGTTACACAGTCAGTTAGTGACCTAATACGGATTCATACAGGGTGTGAAATGGAAATCCGTATTGGGACTCGGCTTCGCCTCGCCCAATACGGATTTCCATTTCACACCCTGTATGAATCCGTATTAGGTCACTAACTGACTGTGTAACTAGTAATATTTTTAGGGGCTATGTATTGAAAACCCCACCTTAGTCCCCCAATAGGGTTAAGGGGCTAAGGGGGGGGGGGTAGGGATAGGGTTAAGGGGGCTAAGGGTTTAGGGTTAGGGTTAAGGGGGTTAGGGTTAAGGGAATTAGGGTTAGGGCTAGGGTTAAGGGAATTAGGGCTAGGGTTAGTGGGTTAGGATTGCACTCTGTTGACCCACCCAGTGGCTCAGCCAATCAGAATCCTCCATTTTGAACCTCATTGACATAAAAAGTGCACTCAGTTGACCTCCCCGGCTAGGACACTTCTGGCTAGGCCACTTCCGCTTCCGCTAGACCACTTCCGGTTATGACGTC